GAGAGGACTGTTCAGCCGGGAAGAGAGATACACTTACACACGAACACAGAAACAATTGAACAGTTACTGTGTAGACAAGTCACAGGTTTGCTTTTGCAAAAATGTTCTTCGTACGTGCTATGCCATTCCTTTTCTATCGTGAGCGCTACACTCCAAAGTAGTACAGAAATAAAACTAACCTAGTGTCAATGTGCATACAAATGAACAGCTGACTACATTCATTCGAAACATCTCTACGATATTGAGCTTACCTCTAAGGTGATTTCTACATTCGGTGAGTAGTTTCGACCCCGCTCGCCTATTCACTCTGTCAACTAGCCGATTCTTCTCTGTGAACGTTTCGTTCGTTGTGACAACTATCGCCGTTGTATCCAACAACGACAGGTCACCCATCCTGTAAAGACGGTCAACAAACATATGCCATCTCTGTAGTGCTACATAAATGTTAATATGGATCATGACAGAAGCCTAGACAGGTAATGTTTCTCTTGTAACATAGCCGGCAGTCTCAGAAATTCCAACGACGAAACAGATAAGAAGTTAATCTTTTCAAAGACTTGCAGGATAAGATGAGTACATAAAATACTTTCTTCAGAATGGATTCCTGTCTATATAAGACACTTTTGGCATTTGTGTTGAGTGGCAGTTACACAGTAAAGCTACTTCTACAGAATGATCACCTGTCTATAAGGGCACTTTCAGAATTTTCTTTGTGTGACACTAATATAAAGGTTTGATTGTACATTGCAAATTTGTAAATACATTGCAATTGGTCTTATCGATTATGTTGACATTGCGTAAAGCCTCGTTTATATGGGAATGTTTTCACACAAGCATTTCACGTGATCCGCTTTGCTACAAGGACGACTCTAGATTTGTTGCAGCTAGATTCAACATTTGTTGAAAATAGCCAAAAGACTTTGCCTCGACTAACTTGACGCTCACCAAATGACGACTTTTTCATTGATGCTCGGGTCGCATGTGAACGGTGTCGGCGTCGATGTGTCTTTGAAACGGCTCTTGTCGTAGTCTGGTACAGGTAAGCTGCTCCATCTCGGAAGCGTCTCCAGCGAAACAACATCCGATGCAACTCCTATGGGCTCCATCGTTTACCCTGGAAAATCCGAGCGCAGCATACTATAGTGAAAGAATTTGAATTCGAGAGGCGACAGTAATACGCAAGCAGTGCTCAATTTTAAGGTTTTTTTGTGCGGCCCTCCGGTTGCTCCGCGTGGACAAACCAAGGAGAGTACAGCATATTGTGGTTGTCCCTCAACGCTCAGTTTTGGTTTGTCCGGCATTTTATTCTAACATGTGCTCGCATCGCTCTGCCTCAGCGTGATGGCTCAGTTGCCTGGTAATAGCCAAAAGGCCTAATCATGTTAACGATTTCTGTACTGTTTGCAGTTACAGCAGACATGGCATTCGCATTTCGCTTCACTCATTATATTAAAGAGAATAAAATATTTGGTAATGTGGGTAAACTGATGCCTGGGAATCAATTGACGTTAATAATCCAATAGTAATTAAAAGTTTGCATGAATTTATTTTCATATACATTTACATTTATAAAAAAAAAAAAAAATAAAATAGTTAACTAACACTACTAACAATTATAACACTGTGTTGTCAAGTCACAGATGACAGTAAAAATTTGAAACAATTAACACGATAACATTAGGCGCGTTCCGACTGCGCGAAATTAGCGGGATGCCTAAATCTCGGTTTTGCATCCGCGCATCGAAATATCCGAGATTCTTTTACAACGTGGTGAACGCAAAAATCTCACTAAGTATCGGCGATCCAGCATCGCTGCTGCAAAATCGCATTTGAAAGTTCGCGCACCTTATTGGAATTAAGCCGCGATTAATTGCACCGCGCGGGCGCTTGTGGTGAACCGCTCCGCCGCAAATACGATCCCGTAATTTTTCGTATCCCAATCATTCCAACGCGATCGCTATAACATCCGGCACCGTTGAGCATGCGCGGTTTTCGACATTAATAGAGATTATACGCGCTCTGGCGATTAAGCGAGATATTCTTCGACCTGTGTGAACAATGACACCAATATATCTCGGTATTTCCATCGCGCATTAGGGCATCGCGGTGCGAAATTGGTGTGTGTTTGAACACGCCATATTTGTGTTGTTAACACACGTAATGTCTTTACTTTGTATCAAGCAAACGCCAGACAATGCGTCTAGACATGTACGTCCTTTGCAGGACGTATTGTGCAACCCTGCGCCCGTATGTAAAATGAGCAGGCACGCATTATGAATTTATGAATATAAAATTTTATAGAGGTTGTTGGACACTAGGACAAGCATTGTCGCTGCCCGAGACGAAAAATCCAGTCGCATCTGTTTAAATTAGAGCCCTGCAAGCACCATTAAAGGAGCGGAATCTGTGATAATCGCCGCGCTGTGGCAAACTGACAACTAGTGGTTAGCACTGTTAAAACTAAAAGGTCCAGATTCTGGATTATAAAAGACACCCCCGATCACTAGCATGAGAATGTTCTCGCGTTTGGCCATTAGCAACCTTTCCAATTAACAAACAGCTGAGGTGGAGATTTGTCCCCCGCTCCTAGATGGACAAAAATTTGATGGGGCGACGAACATACCCTACAAATTCAGTCAAGTGATACAGGGGCGTAGCCAGGGGTGATTCCAGGCATTCTGGAATCCCCCTGGTTTGTATCAAAATAGCACATACCTGATACAGTATGTATATGTTGTGCCCAAACTTGGAATCTTCCCACCATAAACTTGCGAATTCAGCGATCGCATCAGTTGGCAACCAATCTTGAGATGGGCAAACAGAGGTTAAAACAGCAGCTTTGCCACAAACATATGGTTATTAGGATCTTCAAATGTTATATCATAACTATTAATGGTTCGTACTATCCTTTTTTTCCTCAATGTGTTTGGCACCTTTGTAATAAATATTTAATGATTATAATAAATAATTTGCGCCGTAAATATGAATGTAAATCTCCTTCTTAGTTTTGCACCGATGCACACCACACACTCGCTATGACGCGGTTGTTGACATCACGACTGTTTTCAGTTTTCGCAATCTTGAGACAAAAACATTGGTCATGCCACTAAGGGAGCATCCGCAGTTTTGCCGGCGCACAATCGCTGCACAATCCTCGAGGATTGTGCTATGTTTTCCAAGTTTGGGCTACGACAGTCACAGCCAGAGTTTTTTGCGCCCTCGAATCATATGTTTGTGCAAGCTCTGTTTACCTCTGTTTGCCCAATCTCAAGATTGGTTGCCCAAACTGTGGATGCACTGAAATTCCAAGTTTGTGCAAGATTCCAAGTTTGAGCACAACAGCTACGCCCCTGTGATAAGCAAGCTAAGCTATGTTTTGCCTGTTCCCGAGCCTGAAGCTGAGGACAGTAAGGAAGGCCTTGGCCCTTGCCCAGTTGCGCTGAGAGGGTCTATGTCCCCCAGGGTACTGCCGGAATGTACCCTAGGTACGGTCCGGTATACCGGAACGTACACTGGTACTATCTAATATGCCGGACCGTACCTCGCCTACTCCACTAACGAGTCTAGGGAGTCGCCTACGCCTACTCCCTAACCCTAATCCTAACCATATCAAATAGTTACCAGGGTACGGTCCGGTACCCTGGCACAGGCAGTACCCTGGGGGCAAGGCCCTGGGGGACAGACCCTATGAATGAGCCCCAGTTGCCGGCGTCATGCCTGCCTGGGTTCAACATAAATTTACTGTTGCCACTATTGCATCGGAATAATATGCATGCTTACTGCAATCCAACCAACCAAATGTTTTGGATCTTGTATAAGGTATACAACGCGAGGCTTTATCTAACTACGTCTTTAAACGAGGCTTTATCTTACGAGGCGTGCATTTACCAACAACAACGTACAGCTGATAGATTCAGAACAAGTTTCTAGCGTACTGTTTCCAGTAGACTGGTACTCGCTCCCACCTCGATTACTCGATGGGGGAGAGGTGGGACCGGGTACCCGTCTATTGTTTTTATTTGGTCGTGCTGCCATCTGGTATTGAAAAATGTAAAGGAAATTACGAATCTAAATAGATAAATACATCAATATTCATAAGTATGTGATATTCTTATGAATACATAATTATTACATACCTATATACGTTATCATATAAATTCTTATTACTTAAATAATAAGATATTTTATGTTATTTTAATGAAAAAATTTCAGGACTCCGACTGTACACTTGTTACGTCTTCATCGTTCGTCGAGCGCTGTCAACATTCGTTTTTACAGAGCGCGGCAAATATGATCACTTCAATCAATTTTTGCTATTCTGAAACTATGTAAACTTGAATCTAACTATGGTTGAGAAACACGTAGCGTTGGGGTTGTACTTTTAACTATATTTTATTTTAATGAGGTAAGAATGAAGACTTGGCTGGCAATCTTAGAATTAACAATTATAAATAATACAATTTCATTTTCAGCCTCTCTTGACTTGAGTTGAGTTCGTATTTGAATCAAATTTCAAATTCAAATTCAAATTCAAATAAAGTTTATTGCACAGATAATCGTAGATCATACAGGCAAATATGCTACAAACTACAATAAAACAAATTCCTAGGCTAATAAAAACATAATACATGATAATATATTTTTTTGTTATTTAACATAATTTAACGTTCTATCCAAAAAACAACAACACTTCAAACTAGTGTAATAAAATACAAACTCCTAAACTACGCTAACGAACAAGTTTCATGTGAGTATAGACTATCGCGGTAAGTATCGCGTGGTATCGGTTGCCGCAGATAGTAACGTTTGGTATCGGAAACTGCAGGCACCCTGAGTTCAGATGTAGGACTAGTAAAGTCCGACTGTTGGTCTAAACCTATCTGTATTTAGCTTGGGATATGTGGTGTGATTTAGTTTATTATTTGTATATCTCACCATTTATGTTTTGGGTGGATCTTGTCGTGGTCTTGTCGTGGTCTTGTCGAATCGATGTTACCTCACATGTCGCGGTTATCATTGCGTGATCCTAATTATATCTACCGTTTGACGTTCGTGTCTTTCAGATCAGCCCAGCATTAGCAATCGAAATGGGTGATAGTCGGAGGCTGGTGAGCAAGCTTCGGGAGCTGAGCGGTCCCGGAGCGCAGACGATGCATCGCGACAGCTGTGAGTGGATGTTCCAGCTCGGCGACGCGCAGACGGCGATGCTCGATTGGCTGTGCAGCTCGATCGCGGCGGCGAATCTCCTCGACCCGTCCGAACTCGAAGAGTTCGATTCCCTGAAGCGCACAAAGGGTACTGTTGATAATTAAGCTCGCACTGAACAATCCTAGTATGGGACCCCGTAAATATGTTTTCGCATATGTGCTAAACTGATCCGGTGTGCTGAGCTAGTATTGGGCCCGCTCGCACACACGTGATTATGCATGTGTTGTCATCGGCTCGATGTAATCTTTAAATGCTGCCGTATTTGTATCCGAGATCAGATAAATGGCGCTTCATATCGCGCTTGCACTAATTTTTAGCTCATCTGACATAGTCAGATGCAGCTTGTATAATCGCATGATCGTCCGTCCGTCCGTGCGAGCGTCCGTCCGTCCGTGCGAGCGTCCGTCCGTCCGTG